CTCCATATCTTTGTAGGGCGCACCCATTTCGGTCATTACTTTTTTGAATGAAAAGAATTTCGAATTCTTATCATATACATTATCTTGATACACTTCATCAGCCAACAGTACCAATTTGTTATCATACGCAAATTTAATAATATCGACAATATTTTCGCGTTTTAGTACTTGTCCAGTTGGATTACCAGGATTAATAACCACCAAAGCACGCGGTTCATAACTTTGCTTAGCTTCATTATAAGCGCGCTCTAATTCGGCGCGATTCAAACTCCAATTGGTTTCCTCATCAAGGTAATAACCAATTTTTTCCATACCATATTCAGCAATAGTAGCAGAATAAAGTGGATATTGTGGAATTGGTACCATAACACCGGGTGGCTTGGAATTGATTTCGGCTCTAAAATATAACAGTCATTTAAAGTAAATTCATTATCAATTAAGAAAACTTGAAACTTACCGCATTAGAGAAAGAACTGATTTGATGCCGGGAGTAGCACCAGCGGTTAAATAAATATTATCGGGATCTGAAGCAATACCACCATCACGTTTTTGAATATACTGAGCAACTTGCTTTCTAACGACTTCCAATCCAGCAGAATCAGTGTAGGACCCCACAGAACAACCCTGACAACTATCTAAAATAGCTCTGGCACGCTCTTTCACATCTTCTGCATAATTTGGTGAGTCAAGCAAAGTGGGATCAAATGTCAGTATAAGAAGCTAGAAAGAAATTATATTTTCAAATTTTTTATTATTTAAATTGCGTCAATTTCTGACGACGAATGCAATTTAACGTAATTGCAATTACAAAGTCTTGTTTGATTAAGGCAATTTGCTTTTGCGAGTGCTCAGCACGTCATAGCAATTTGCGAAGCAAAAATGACCTGATTTAAGTTCAAAATATCAATATAAAAGGAATTTTTAATGTATTAAGCATTTAAGCAATTTTTACGACTTACTTGTCTGAGGAAGGTAACAGGCTTCTGACCCATTGCATGACAATCACCAATGTTAGCACGAATCACTTGGTCAAATGCTTTTTTATTACCCTAAAAAAGAAAAGTAAAATGTAAGTAAGTAAGTAAATGACTTTCAAAAATAAGTCAATTATATGCTTAATGATTACTTAAAATAACTAAAAAAAAATTTATGCATTATTTAAAAAATAACACACGCAAAAACTATATTTAATTGTCTCTGCAGGTATGAGACTCGTTTTTAGATTCAAGCTTTCACTCACATAAAATTCAATCGTACATATAGTAAACCAGTTCTTACCTTCTGTGCCGTAAATTTTTTCCTCAAGCGAACGGTCATGTAGGCAACAGAAATACTTTACGTCGGGTTCAAATCGAGAACCCGCTTTCTCATCTCGCTTTCAGAGCATAACGAAATTCAATTAAAAAAAATTAATAAGTTACAATTTAGACCAGCTTGGTATTTATATTTATTTGTTTTCTAGGGATGTATCTAGATACTTAGAGATCACTCAATGGAGTGCTTTTCTTAGTGCTATTGAAACCCATTCAGAAACGTAAAAGAAATAAAACAAATATATAGATTAAGATGTGATTGAATAAGAAGACAAAGGTTTTTTGAAATAGGGGAGGAATAACATAACATATGCCTACTAATATAGTCTCTATATTAACGAGTGGTTCCGAAGCATAAGTCTAGCTGGCCCTTGAACCACGTGCCTATCTTTCTTTCTTCAGGTAGCTAAATACCAGCTGTATGTCATTTAGAACATGTCTAATATTACATCCTGAGTGTATTATAAAATCAGTTTATAAAAACTTTTTAGCTGAAAAATTTTTATCTCATCACATCCATACTGCCAGGCTATTTGCAGTTTTTTTTTT